CCCCTAGAGGACAGAGTGGAACTGCCCACAGGGTCTCCAAGGCTGTCATCTTTACCAAAACAGTCAGCCTCATGTTTCTCCTGCAGAGCTGGTTGATTCAAACAGCCAACCTTTTGATTAGCAGCTAAGTGTTTTAACCACTATGCCACCAGAGCTGCTCCCAGATCTCTACATGGGTTAAAGTTCATAGAACTACACACTAAACAAAAGTCGATTTTACTGTATGTTAATTTTAACGGTAACATTTTAAATTATGTAAAGAAACTAAAAAGTGGAAAAAGTATAGGTTGGAGAACAGTAGTCAGAAGAGGGTGGGACGCTGTGTTCCCATCAGACAGATGGAGCCTCAGGATGAGGACCCGGGAACGAAGGAGCACCTTCCGTGATGATGTGGGGCCCGTGCATCAAGAGGCAACCCCCTGAGATAGATGGCACCTGTCAACAGAGCCTCAGAGCACGTGCAGCAACGGGGACAGGACCACAGGGAGAAGCAGAGCCACCACCAGTAGCTCACAAACCTCCAGACGGGACTCAGCGGGCTGCAGGAGAGGAACGGCACAACCGCACAACCTGACTGAGGGTGTTTGTGGAACGCACATTCTCGTCTAGTCAGGGGCCCGTTCAACCCCACAGACCGCACTGTGGGCCTTAAGCAAGGATCAGTCCATGCTGCAGCTGTGACAGCAACAGCCACAGAACGAGAATCCTGGACACGGTCCCCTGGGGTGTCGATCAGGCCCTCTGGAGGGCCCGTACCCACGGCAGGCCCTTTGGAGCGTCCCAGGGACCCCTTCTTGTCCCTGCTTCTCCTGTTCCAGGGAGGGCCAGGACACGGCACTCAGGGGTGAAGGGAAGCTCTGAGTTGGTTTCCAAAAATGGGCCCCGGCTTTAATTCTCCTTGGCCCTGAGGACAATGCCTAAGGCCCTGCCCAGTGCTGCGGGAGCTGGGCAGGTGGCCAGCCCCACCTCCCAGGCTCTGCCCTGGGCTGTGGGGATCACTGTCCCTGTCTGTCTTGCAGGAATCCACCCAGAGCCCAACAGCTGCCTCTCAGCCCCATGCCTGAATGGGGGCACCTGTGTAGATGCTGACCAGGGCTACGTGTGCGAGTGCCCTGGGGGCTTCTCAGGCCTCGACTGCGGGGAGAGTATGTGTGGGTCAGGGCTGCGGGGGCTGGGGATGGGAGACCCAGGGCCCATCTTCAGACAGCACACTCAGTGAGAGTCAGGCAGGAGATGTGTGTGTGCAAACACCTGAGACTGTGTGTATATGAGTGTGTGTGTAGAAGAGTGGATGCGAGTGTGCATGTGTGAATGTGTGTGAACATGACTGCTGTGAATGTGTGTGGATGTGGATGTGTGTATTATGTGAGTGTACAAATGTGTGTGAATGTGTATGTGTGTGAGTGAATACATGGGTGTATTTGAGGGTGTGTGTGGATGCGTGTGGGTGTGTGAATGTGGATGTATATGTGAATGTGAGTATATGAACATGTGTGAACGTGTATGTGTGTGAATGAATATGTGAATGTATGTGAAGGTGTGTGGATGTGTGTGTGAAATATGTGGATGTGAGTGTGAACGTGTGCATGAGTGTGTGTGTGAATGTGGGGGGGTGCGAATGTGGACGTATATGTGAATGTGAATGTACGAATGTGTGTGAACATGTATGTGTGTGACTGAGTGAATACATAGATGTATGTGAGGGTGTGTGTGATGTGTGAAATATGTATGTGGGTGTGGGTGTCTGTGAACGTGTGTATGTATGAATGTGAGTGTATGAATGTGTGTAAATGTATGTGAATATATGGGTGAGTATATGAATGTGAGTGTGTGTATGTTTGTGAGTGCAGACACAGGGTCCTGTGGGGAGGTGGGCGGCAGCAGAGCAGGTGGGGTCACCTCCCGGGAGGCCTCCCTCTGTGGCAGGACTGTCCCACGGCTGTGAGTGTGTGTATATGTGTGAGCAGACACAGGGTTCCTGTGGGGAGGTGGGCAGCAGCAGAGCAGGTGGGGCCCTCCCTCTGTGGCAGGACTGTCCCACGACTGTGAGTGCCGTAATGGAGGGAGATGCCCTGACACCAACACCACCTTCTGCCAGTGCCCGCCGGGCTTCTTTGGACTCCTCTGTGAATTTGGTAGGTGGCCAGGGCTGGAGGTGGAGCGCCCTTCCCGCCCTGTCCCTCAGCATCCCTGTATCTAGAGTACAGATGGACAGGCAAATGAGCGGATGGACCAGCCAGGGAGTGAATGGGGCTTGGGCCTGGCCCCACACCATAGAGGCAGACCTTAGGCCACTGTCCCACAAAACCCCAGCCCCACCCCAGGAGGGTGCCTGCCACAGTGTGGCTGAACCTGGCCACCTCTGTGGGGACACGAGGTCTCCAGGAAGACATGTGGGGTGTGGGGCGGGGCTCCTTCCTTCTCTGCAGAAGTCACGGCCACACCCTGCAACATGAACACCCAGTGCCCCGATGGGGGTTACTGCATGGAGTATGGCGGGAGCTACCTCTGCGTCTGCCACACGGACCACAACACCAGCCACTGTGAGTGGGGCTGGCATCCTGGAGCTCTGGCGGGGGCTCTGGAATCAGGGACTTCTCCTGACGCAGCATGCACGTCCCGGAGCCCCTAACGGTCTGCTGACAGGCTGGAGGTCGCCTGTGTGTGCCCACATACTCAGAGGGGCACTGTTGAAAGTGCAGAAGCTGGCATAGTGACTGGTAATAAAGCCAGGCCAGTTGCCCTGGGGCTGTCCGACTCATGGTGACCCCACATGTCAGGGTACAGCTGCCCCACAGGACTGCCGGGGTTTGCAGTGGCTGATCTTTCACAAGCAGGTCCACAGGCTTTTCTTCCTGGCAGCTCTAGGTAGGCTTGAGCCACAGCCTTCCCAGACCAGCTGAGCACGTGACTGCTGGCACCTCCCAGGACACAGTCCACACCGCATGTGATTGGTCACGTGACCCAACATGGGGCAGCGGTGGCCCGGTGGCAATCCTTGCCTTCCACCCGGGGGACCCGGCTCAGGTCCCGGCCAGGGCACCTTGTCTGTCAGTGGAGGCTTCTGTGCTAGGATGTGAAACAGGTGTCAGTCAGCAGAGCTCCCAAACAAAGGCAGATGAGGAAGAAGGCTTGGCAAGTACTCGGAAATAGCCAGTGGGAGCCCTGTGGATCAGAGCAGCCCAGTCCCGCTGCAAATGAGATCCGCAGGAGTCTGGTCGGACTTGATGGCGGCTAAACGCAACCTCAAGTGATCACTGATGTTGGCACCTGGCAAACTCATGTGTAAGTGATGAGGCAGATGGTGATGTGACAGGAAGAGGGAACGTAAGTCCTAGGATCAAGAACAGGAGAGGCCCGTGAGAAGGGACCCAGCCCCACACACTGTACTGAAGCGGCCTTGGTTCCAGGCAGGGCGGCAGGCGTGCTGCACCCCCACCTCATCCCACCCCACCCCCGTCAGTGACTGTGCCCACTGGCGAACCAGGCACGTGCTCCAGGACCGCCCTCTGCCCTACAGCCCTGCCGTCGCCCTGTGACTCAGATCCCTGCTTCAACGGAGGCTCCTGCGATGCTCACGACGACTCGTACACGTGCGAGTGCCCACGCGGTTTCCACGGCCAGCACTGCGAGCAAGGTAGCAGGCGGGCGGCACCGCGTCAGCACCCTGGAGAGCAGCCGCGCGCGCGCGCGCTCCGCCTCCGCGCTTTTCCCAAGGGTTTCCAGCACCTGCTCCCCTCTGGGCCCGGCCTCGCATTCACTGCGCTGCGGTCCCTGCTGTGGGGCGCGTGATGCCCCCCACCCCAGCCTGCCTGACTGCCCACTCTGATTTTCCAACTCGCTTTTACAAGCACTACATTAAATTCTACCTTTCACGTGGCGGTCCTTGTGCCGCCTGACCTTGGGTGACCAGCTGTGGAGCCCACCAAGTGCTGGAGGACTCAAAAGACAGCCGTGGAATCGTGGGTCCTTCCCCCTCCTCAGTCTCCCCGTCTGTCTCTCTGCCCATCTCTCTCCACCCACAGTCAGGCCACGCCTGTGCAGCTCGGGGCCATGCAGGAATGGAGGGACGTGCAAGGAGGTGGGCACTGAGTACCACTGCAGCTGCCCCTACCGCTTCACCGGCAGACACTGTGAGATCGGTGCGTCCACACAGGGCGGGAGCGGCCACCACACTGGGCTGGACAGAGTGGGGGTGACCAACCCTGACCCCTGACCAGCGTCCCCATGGAGGTAGCTCCACCGGGGTTGCAGGGGCTGCAGGGTGGCCCTGACCCACGTGCCCCACCCCCAGGGAAGCCAGACTCGTGCGCCTCGGGCCCTTGCCACAACGGAGGCACATGCTTCCATTACATCGGCAAGTACAAGTGTGACTGCCCACCGGGCTTCTCCGGGCGCCACTGCGAGACTGGTGAGGGCACCAGGGCCTGCGCGGCCAGCGAGGGGAGGCTGGCGGGGCCTGGCGGGCACCTTGACCCTCCACATCCCTGCAGCCCCCTCCCCTTGTTTCCGGAGCCCATGTTTGAATGGAGCCACTTGCGAGGACTTGGGCACAGACTTCTCTTGCCACTGCCGAGCAGGATTCACTGGACGCCGGTGCCAGGCAGGTGAGCAGCAAGCCCACCACGTGTGGGCTTCATGGAGGAGGGGGCACCCATCAAGTACCATCTCTATCCCTGGGGGGAGGGGTGCACCTGGACAGCCAGTGCCCAATGTCAGAGCACCTCCACCTGCAAAGGGAAGGGGCACACAGCAAGGGGAGCAGGGGTCCCAGGCATGCACCTCCACCCACAGAGCTCCCGAGGAAGAACAGGTCCCAGGCAGGCAACCCATGTCCCACACCCTGTATTTGCACTGTGCTTCTGCATAGGTGAACCATAGGGACACCTCCCCCCCAGAGATGGAGTGCACCAGGCTGGCTTAGCCGGTACCCGGCTGGGCACAGACGTGGCAACTACAGTCTACAAACCCCCACCCACTCTTGCCCCTGCCACCTGCAGGGGGTCTGGAGCCATCCTCCTTGTGCCATGGTGACTCTCAGGCCCAGAGCATGGCAGACACACCCTATGGGGTCCATGCCACCATGCAGGCCTCCCCAAGGAGCACAGCCCCAATTCTAACCCCAGCCCTGTCCCCCACCCCACACTGTCTTCTCCATAGCTCCCGTGATAATGGGTCACTAAGGGCTTCCGTGCCTGGCAACAAAGAGGGGTGGTCAAACCCCCACTCACTGACTCTGCACATGAGGCAGCTGAAGCCAAGATGGCACCCAGGGCAGAGTCAGAAAATCAAGGTTCAACACCTTCCCCCACAAAAGGGTGAAGTAAAAGTACAGAAAATGTACGTTCCTACTGGGAACACTGGTGGCCTAATGCCTAGGGCATCTGACTGCTAACCAGAAGTCTAGCTGTTCAAACCCACCAGCCACTCCTCGGAAGGAAGGGTGGGCAATCTACTTCTGTAGTGATACCACCTCAGAAACCCAAGGAGGAGTTGCTATGAGTCAGATCTGACTTGATGACAGTGGGTTGGGTTGGTTGGTTGTTACTGGGAACACAGACTGTAAGATAAAAACAGCTCATTAAGGGTGGGGAGGGCCACTCTTGGTGATAACTGACCCAGTTCACCAAGAACACATAATCACTATCAACAATGAATCTAGGAAATTGGAAGTTGTCAAAAATGAAATGGAATGCATAAAGACCAATATCCTAGGCATCAGTGAGCTGAAATGGACTGGCATTGACCATTTTGAATCAGACAATCATATGGTCTACTATGCTGGGAATGACAAATGAAGGGGCGTGGCATCAGTTAATCATCAAGAAGAACATTTCAAGATCTATCCTGAAGTACAATGCTGTCAGTGATAGGACAATATCCATACATTTATAAGGAAGACCAGTTAATAAACCGTTATTCAAATTTATGCACCAACCACTAAAACCAAAAGTGAAGAAATTGAAGATTTTTCCCAATTTCTACAGTCGGAAATTGACCAAACATGCAATCAAGATGTGTTGAGAATTACTGGTGATTGAAATGCAAAAGTTGGAAACAAAGAAGAAAGACTAGTAATTGGAAAATATGGCCTTGGTGATAGAAATGACACTGGAGATCACATGCTAGCATTTTCCATGACCAACACCTTATTCACTGCAGATACCTCACCAGATGAAATACACAGGAGTCAAACTGACTACATCTGTGGAAAGAAGAGATGGAGAGGCTCATTGTTATCAGTCAGAATAAGGCCAAGAGCTGGCTGTAGAACTGATTATCAATTGCTTGTGTGCAAGTTCAAGTTGAAGCTGAAGAAACTTTAGAGAACATCTGAAGAAGAGATTTGACACCAATGACTGAAGCCCAGACGAGTTGTGGGATGACATCAAGGACCTCATCCATGAAGAAAGCAAAAAGTCATTTAAAAGAGAGGAAGGGAAGAAAAGAAATGGATGTCAGAAGAGGCTCTCAAACGTGTTGCTGATTGGAGAGTAAAGTGAACAGATGAAATAATGAAATGAAGAGCTGAACAGATTTCAAAGGGCAGCTTGAGAGGGCAAAGTATTATAATGAAATGTGCAAAAACCTGGAGTTGGTAAATCAAAGGGTAAGAACATGCTTGGCATTTCTCAAGCTGAAAGAAAAAATTCAAGCCTCAAGTTGCAATATTGAAAGGTTCTACTGGCAAAATATTGAATGATGCAGGAAACATCAAAAGAGGGTAGAAGGAATACACACAGTCACTCTATCTAAAAGAACCAGTCAGTCTTCATCCATTTCGGGATGAAATGATCAAGAACCAATGGCATTGAAGGAAGAAGTCCAAGCTGCACTGAAGGAGTTGGTGAAAAACAAGGCTCCAGGAATTGATGGAATACCCACTGAGGTATTTCAACAAACAGATGCTGTGCTGGAGGCACTTACTTAGCTATACAAAGAAATGTGGAAGACAGCTACCTGTCCAACCAACTGGAAGAGATTCATATTTGTGCCCTTTCCAAAGAAAGGTGATCCCACAGAATGTGTGAATTATGAAACAATACCATTGACATCACATGCAAGGACAATCTTGCTGAGGATCTGCTGTAACAGTACATTGACAGGGAACTATCAGAAACTCCAGCCAGGTTCAGAAGAGGATGTGGAACAAGGAATTATCATTGCTTATGTCAGATGGATCGTGGCTGAAAGCAAAGGATACCAGAAACCTGTGTTTTATTGACTGTGCAAGGCATTTAACTGTGTGGGTCATAACAAAGTATGGGTAACATTGTGAAGAATGGGAATTCTAGAACACTTAATTGTGCTTATGAGGAACCTGTACATAGACTAGGAAGCTGTCATTCAAACAGAACAAGGGGATACTGCGTGGTTTAAAGTCAGGAAGGGTGTGTGTCAGAGTTATATCCTTTCACCATACGTATTCACTCTGTATGCTGAGCAAACAATCTGGGAACATGGACTATATGAAGAAGAATGCAGCATCAGGATTGGAGGAAGACTCGCTAACAACCTGTGATATACAAATAACACAACCTTGCTTGCTGAGAGTGCAGAGGACTTGAAGCATTTATTGATGAAGATCAAAGATCAGTATGGATTAAACCTCAACAAAAACAGTGTAAAACAAGAATCCCCACGACTTTTCCTTCATGATTATATGCAGCTTCATGATAAAGGGAGAAAAGGTTGAAGTTGTGAAGGATTTCATTTCACTTGGATCCACAGTCAACATCCATGAGAGCAGCAGTCGAGAAATCACCCAACGCGCTGCAGCAGATGTGTTGTAAAAGACCTCTCTAAAGCTTTAAATAGCAAAGACGCCACTTGGAGAACTTAGGTCCGCCCGGCCCCAGCCGTGCTAAAACAGCCTCACAGGCATGGGAAACCTGGACAGGGAATAAGGAAGATCTCAGAATAACTGATGCCTCTGAACGATGGTGCTGGTGAAGAATATGGACTATAGCAGGGACTGCCAGGAGAACGAAAAAGTACAGCTGGAATGCTCCTTACAAGTGAGGATGGTGAGGCTTCATCTTGTGAACTTTGGACGTGTTCTCAGGAGGGACTGGGCCCTGGAGAAGGACATCACGCTTGGTAGAGTAGAGGGGCAGCAAAAAAGAGGAAGACCCTCAACGAGATGGACTGACATGGTGGCTGCAGTGATGGGCTCCAGCACAGCAACGATGTGAGGCTGGCTCAGGATCGGGCAGTGTACACAGTGGTACACAGGGTTGCTGCAAGCTGGGACCGACTCAAAGGCACCTAACAACAGCAACAGTAACATTCAAGTATCTAAAACAGTAGCCTGATATCAAGCAAAAATCAGCAGACTACAGGGGAAATTGACAATCCACCAAGCCATCATAAGAGTGTGACTTTTCAAACCACATCTCTCAATTAATGGCAGATTAAGAAGCCCAACTCAGTCAAGATGGAAGAGTAGGGCAACATCATTAACAGCTGAGCTAATGGATAAAATCCCCAAATCCGAATGCCCTGTTGTCAATACATGCGGAATTCTGCACCCAGTGGTTCGCAAATCCACACGTTTCTCAAGTTCACTGGACCCATTTACAAAATGGTAACGCATCTGGCCATAAAGCAAGCCTTTTTGTTAAATGTAGAAGATGAAGAACCATGCAGTTTCCACTCTCTGGACCTAAGCAATTTCATTACTAATAAGAAGGTACATTTTTCCTGGAATTGGACTCACTCCCATGCTTCCAGCCAAACAATAAACAGGCATATACAGTGAACATTTACACCAGGCAGGTACACTCCTTGGAAGAATCAACCATGAAAGACCAGAAGGGCAGTATTTGCACAGGGAGATAGCTCAGAGGGCAGGAGTGCAGAGGAAAGAAGGACACAGGGAAGAGGTAACTGCAGGGAGCAAGTGGGAAGAGAGCAGCCACGTTACAGCGATTGCAGTCAATGTCATGAAAGAAAATGTGTATGAACTGTTACGTGGAAAATGAATTTGCTGTGTCAGTTTTCGTGCAAATCACAATTTAAAAAAACTTAAAGTTTTAAATCTCTGTGTTTGAAGTTGGACTTTTCTAAAGTTATTTTTAAACAACTGGGTCAAAAAAATCATGATGGATATTAAAATATTTTAGATAAGTAATAACAAGCACTTTCTACATCAAAAGTTGTGTGATGCAGGAAAAGCAGTGTTATGACAAGTTCATAGCCTTCAATGCCCATGTTGGAAAAAGAAAAGTGCAAAATTAATGAGCCACATTTCCAGTTCCAGAAGTTAACAAAATGAAGAAGAAGGAAAGACAATGAAGATAAGAGCTGTCATGAAATAGAAATCAAGGATATGAAAGAAAAGGTCAACAGAGCTCTGAGTAAGTATTGGAAAAGCATAATACCATGGACAAACCTTTATCAAGACTGATCAAGAAAACGGAGTAAAACTAAAAATCGCTACAAATGGAGAGGAGAACATAACTGCAGACACAGAAGACATTAAAAAGGTAGTGGAATATGACCAACACCTCCATACAAATGAATTAAAAGCCTTGGAAGAAACGGACATGATATGCATAGAAAAATGTAAGTGACCAAAAGGGCCTCAGGGGAAACAGAAAGCCTGCATGGTCCTGTGAACTACTGAGAGAAGCTGAAGCGATGGTTCAACCATTTTCTACAAAGAAAGGGCAGGTCCAGATGATTTTATGGGGGTTGCTGTTGTTATGTGCCGTTGAGTCGGACCCGACTCATAGTGACCCCTTCTTGGGTTTCTGAGGCAGTATCACTACGGAAGTGGATCGCCCAACCTTCCTTCTGAGGAGTGCCTGGTGGGTTTGAACCACCAGCCTTCTGGTGGTTAGCAGTCAAGTGCTTTAGGCACTATGCTACCAGAGCTCCCATTTTACAGGTAAATTCTGCCAAACTACCAGGAAACACATCAGTGCAGTATCAGCCTAACTCTTCCCAAGAGTGGAAATCAGCTCCCTGAGGTCAATACAACCTTGATACCAAAGCCAGATACTGACATAGGGATAAGGAGAACTAGGAGTCCAGGAAACACATGATTAACAGTTGCAAAAATCCTAGATAAGGTATTAACGAGTCAGCCTAATGGTCCGTAGAAATGATATCCACATTACCGTGTCAGGGCTGCAAGGGACAGTGTATGTGAGAGGATCAGCTGCATCAGCTAGTTCGAGGAGACGAATCCCACAAGACTCAGGAAATGCACACTGTGTACCCAGTAATCCCTGCCCATTCCTGAAATCAGTTCTCGGCAAATACAGGATGTAAGTCCTTCCTTTACACAGGACGAACGGGGCATGACACGCCCAGCTCCAATGTCAGATACAACGGGGCTCATCCAGGGGCTGAGAAGAGATGTGAGGGGGGGCAGAGCCCCACGTGCACATGATCCTGCAGAGGGTGTGCCCAGCCACGGCGGGACCGGTGCCGCGTGGGAGCGCCCCGAGAGAGGGGCAGGCCCCTAACACACCACGTGTGTTCAGGGGAGGCAGGGACACCAGCTCCAGCTTCAGGTCGTCAAGGATCTGAAATTCAACAGCTATTCTGTGGAGCTGACCCCTTAGAACAAAACTCACGTGTGCATTTCTGGGGCTCCGGCCACTGCCCCGTCACCGAGCCTTGCTTCCCTGGCCCCCCAGAAGTGGACGAGTGCCAGCCCCAGCCTTGCCTGCACGGGGGCTCCTGCCAGGACCAAGTCTCAGGCTACGTGTGCCTCTGCAGCCCAGGATACAAAGGCGCCCGCTGCGAGCAGGGTGAGTCCCGGCCCACGCTGGCCTTGGCCAGAAGAGTCGGCGTAGGCAGTAGAGGAAAGACTCAGGCCCCATGGCCTTGTGGCCAGTCCTGGCTCTCCTGGGCCAGTCTGTCTGGACACTGCAGGCTGGGCTGGGGCTGACCTCGGGCCCTGCCTCCGGTCCAGCAGACTCTGGCCTGGGGAGCAGAGACATGGGAAGGGGAGAGAGGGAAGGCCCTGCACCAGCCGGGCCCTCATGCCTTCCTAGGGCTCAGACTCACACAACCAGACCCCAACTCAGGCAGTCTGGGTGCGGTGGGCTCCACGGGGCTTGTGTCCTGTCCCCAGAGATCAACGAGTGTGCAGAACAGCCTTGTCAGAATGGGGGCTCCTGCAGGGACCTCCTGGGGGCTTTCCTGTGCCAGTGCCCCACAGGGTTCACGGGGGTCCACTGTGAGACAGGTAAGGGTTCCCTCAGGTGGGTCCCAGCGGGCAGCTCCCCCCACCTTCTCACACCCTGGGAAACCCCAATATCTCGGCCACAAGTCTGTTTGCAACACACACAGAGCCTGGGCCTCAGAGGGGCAGGGTCCATGCACCCCTGATGGGCAGGCCTCCTAGAGAGGGACCCCGGGTGCACCCTGGGGAGGGAGGGGGGCTGCAGGCAGGCCGATTGAGGGGTCTGAGCCGCGACAGCACCGAGGGGTGCCCCCAGCCCCGCTCTCCTGGCCCATTTCTTGCCTCCCCTCCCTTCTTCCTGCTCTCCTCTCCTCCCGCCCCCAGACCCCCCGCGGCCCCCGCCCCAGCGTGGCGCTGATTCCGAGGCTCTCTGGGTATTCTCCAGAGGTGGATGCCTGCGACTCCAGCCCCTGTCAACATGGAGGCGCCTGTGAGAACGACGCTGGCGCCTACCTGTGTGTCTGTCCCGAGGGCTTCTTCGGCTACCACTGTGAGACAGGTAGGGTGGGCGGGGCCGGCCGCTGCTCCCCCCACCTCCCCGTGCGGCCTGAGGCCTCTCCCTGGCCCTCCGCCCATCTGGTCCCCTCTTGGTCCTAGGACGACCGTTCCAGGCCCCGCTGTGCTCCAGCACCCCCCACGTCTCTGCCCCAGTCCCAGGTGGGCAGGAGCTGGGGGGATGCGGCCGCCTAGCACTGTACCCCACTCTGACTGGCTGCGCTGGGCCCGCCTCCCTGAGCTGGCCCCACACAACAGGCTGGCAGCAAGCAATGGGTGGGGTCAGATGTCACCCTTGTGGAGGGCCCCGTCCAGCAAGAGTCGGACAAACCACCCTGCACAGAAGGTGCCTGCAGCAGGGCACCGTGCTGGGAGGAGAAGCTGCTGCACCGCAGGCGGGGGGGCGGGGGCAGCTGGGGGCGGTGAGAGCTGCAGGCCGCTCGGAGGACCGCGAGCACTTGGGGCTGTGCCGCATCGCTGCACAGTCCTGGGCAGGCCTGGTTCGCTATTTTACCCAGCACTTCACTGTGAGCAGAGGGCCCTGGGCTCTGACAGTGATGAGGGGCTGCCAGGCCACTCAAGGGCCTCAAGGGCCAGGGACCAGGTTGTTTGCAGGTGTTTCCTGGGGTGACAGCAGGAACAAGGGAGATAGGCCCTGGACACTGCCTCCCCCAAGCCTCAGAGCTCAAAAGAGGCCGGCTGAGCCTCACTTCCCCCCTGGCCCACACTGTGCTCATCGCACCCCAAACTGCTCCTCTGCTAGGACACCAAGGCAGTGACTGCACCCCGGGAGTGGGGCGCAGCAGTGTGCCCCCCCAGCAAGTGCTGACCAGTTCCAATATCACTCCACCCACCCTGTGACCTCTCCACCCTCCCCCTGACCTTGCCACCCACCCCATGACCTCTGCACCTTCCCGGGTGACCCCTCCACCCACCCCATGACCTCTGCACCTTCCCGGGTGACCCTTCCACCCACCCCATGACCTCTCAATCTTCCTAGGTGACCCTTCCACCCTCCACCTGACCCAACCACCCACCCTGTGACCTCTTCACCTTCCTGGGTGACCCCTCCACCCACTCCATGACCATTCCACCTTCCTCGGTGATCCCTCCACTTTCCTGGGTGACTCCTCCACTCTCCCCGACCCCACCACCCACCTCATGACCTCTCCACCTTCCTCGTGATCTCTCCACTCTCCTGGGTAACCCCTCCACCCTCCCCGTGACCTCTCCACCTACCCTGTGACCGCTCCATCCTCACCCTGACCCCGCCACCCCACAGACCTGCAGAGCAGCAGGACCCAGCGTCCCTCAGAGCAAGGACCTGGCAGGTTAGGGGTGCCAGACAAGCTGTCATCAGCACTCACAGTGACCCCTTGTCCCCACACAGTGAGTGACCCTTGCTTCTCCAGCCCCTGCGGGAGCCATGGTTACTGCCTGGCCAGCAACGGGTCGCATAGCTGCACCTGCAAAGTGGGCTACACCGGCCAGAACTGTGCCAAAGGTGAGGCTGGGAGCCCCCCCCCCCGCCCCCTCCCCGAGTGGAGCTACCTGGGTAGGCTGAGGCCAGCCCAGGGCTGAAGTCCCCTTGAGCAGGGAGGGTGGGGTAGAGTTCCCCAGGTGAGCACTGCAGGATGCCACAGGCATAGGTGTGTCAGCACCCCTCAGGAAGCACCTGCTGCAGCCCACCCGGGGGCTGGGAGAGGGCCCCACGCCCCTGACCCCGCCCGCAGCGGGAGGTGCCGGCCTGGGGGCGGGGCTTCCTGCGCACCTGACCACGCCCATTTACCGGGACCCTGGAAGAGCTCCTCCCGCCCACCGGCCTCAAGGTGGAGCGGGTGGAGGAGAGCGGCGTGTCCATCTCCTGGCTCCCGCCCGAGGGCCCGGCGGTCGGGCAGAGGCTGGATGGCTACGCGGTCACCTATGCCTCAGCCGATGGCGCCTTCCGCCGCACGGACTTCGTGGAGCGTGACCGCTCCACCCACCAGCTGCGCGCCCTGGCAGCTGGCCGGGCCTACAGCATCTCCGTGTTCTCGGTCAAGCGCAACGCCAATAACAAAAATGACATCAGCCGGCCTGCGGTGATGCTGGTCCGCACGCGTGAGTCTGCCGGCCACGCGTCCCGAGACCCCAGAGAAGGGAGTGGGGGGCAGATGTGCCGAGAGGCTGTCCACTGTGGGGTCTGCATGAGCCAGAGGTGAGGGGGGACGGGAGGTGGGGAGGGAAGAGTAAGTACAGGCTCTACCTCCTCAGAGCCAGGTCTCCAGGGGACAGGTGTGTGCGTGCGGGGGGGGTGGGGTGGGGGCTCTGGGATGTGCTCTCCACCTCTGAGGAGTGTGAGGGTTGGGGACTCACACCCACACCCCCTCCCGGTCCACTCTTCCTGCTGGGTCCAGCATGGCCCACATCCTACCCGGAACGCTCACCAGTAGAACGATAGCCAGGGCAGGAGAGAGAGGGGACCCCTAGGTTCCCATGTGCCAGGAATGATGCAGTCACATCTGGCCCAAGGGGTGTCACTTGCAAACCTCATCTCCGCCCCAGCTGGCCTGCTGCACCCCGCCTGCCCTTGAGGAGTAGGGGCACCAGCATTGGCTGAGCAGCCCCGTGTCCCCCAGGGCCCCGCCCTGTTGAGGGCTTCGAGGTCACCAACGTGACGGCCAGCACCATCTCTGTGCGCTGGGCTCTACACCAGATCCGCCATGCCACAGTCAGCAAAGTCCGTGTGTCCATCCGCCACCCTGAGGCCAGTGGGGACCAGTCCACCGATTTGGACAGGAGTGTGGACAAGTTCACATTCGGGTAAAAGGCTACAATGCAACCCCAGTGGCCCTGGGTCCCCATGGTGGAAGCAGGGGGTCCTCTCTGTCTGCCCACTCCTCCGCTCCACACTGTCCTAGACCCCTCCAAACCACCTGGGGGCACAAGCTCACTGTGCACCCAGTCTACCGCCAGGTGGGGGCAGGGACACTGCACCATCCGGTCCCCTGGGGACCTCCTCCTGCCTGGGAGGTTGGGAGAAGCAAGTGCTAGAAGCAAGGAGTCCCCTAGAGCCCCAGCGTTCCCACGTGAGCAGGTCCCGAGAGTGCTCAGCCACCCAGATACTGTGGGTGGGGCGCCAGGGGACACCTGTGTCAGCAGAAAGCACTAGAGGTTTTCAAACTTGAAAGCAAACTTGTTTTTAGAGCCTCGAAGAGAGGAACACTTAGGGACCCTACCCAGTGCAGCCGTCTGTCCTGGGCTGATACCACTTACTCTTATAATGTGTGGCTGAGGTTGGGACCCGGATGCAGAGTGAGGACCCTCAGGGTGCTGTGTTTTCAGCTGTTGGGGGGTCTCTCCCTGCTTCCCTCTTTGGGTTTGTTGTTAATCTGTGGCTGAGTTTGTAGTTTGTTAGTTTGATGCTTAGAAAAAACCCACTGCCATCAAGCTAATTCTTACTCACAGTGCCCCTAGAAGACAGAGTAGAACTGCTCCACTGGGTTTCTAAGGCTGTCAGTCTTCACAGAAGCAGACTGCCTCATCTTTCTCCCACAGAGTGGCAGGGGCTTCAAATCACTGACATTTTGGAGAGCTTAACCACTGTGCTACCAGGGCTTCTAGAGACCCCTTGTTGTTGTTATGTGCCGTCGAGTAGGACCCGACACATAGCGACCCCTCCTTGGGTTTCCGAGGCAGTATCACTACGGAAGTAGATTGCCCAACCTTCCATCCGAGGAGTGGCTGGTGGGTTTGAACCGCCAGCCTTCTGGTTAGCAGTCAAGTGCCTTAGGCACTATGCCACCAGAGCTCCCAGAGACCCCTAGGATTGCCTTAAACTTACTTTGATGTTTATGAAACACGTTCAGAGCAGGTATATAAGCCTCTGGTGCTGAGTCCCTCTGGATTAAACACAGCCACAGAACGAAGGGCAGCTGCACCAACCCCAGTCAGAATGGCTGCTGGTGCAATGGAAGCACCAGAGTCCCGAGTCGCCATGAGTCGGAATCGACGCGACGGCAGTGGCTTCGGGTTTGGGTTTGGTGGTGACACTTAGGAGAACCATTTCTCAATCTGAAAACCCAGCTGGATCCCTCGGCTCCTGTCCCTGGTGGGTCCTGTGGGCTGGTTGTCAACCAGAGAGAGTTCCAGTCCCTTCTCAGAGTGGTCAGGGGCAAAAAGGACAGACAGATGTGAGTGGAGGGTGCTGGTTTAGAGCATTTCCACAGTTCAGGCCGGCTCACCCAGAACATTTCAGCAGGTCCAGCTCAGAGCAGCCTCTGCTCATGGTCCCCGGGGGTAGAGAGTCCGGAAGGCCTGCCCTGAGGGGTGGCTCAGGGGCAAGGCACTTGGGAACCCAGGTACACTCCTGTCCCGAGCCCCTGCACTCAGCCCATGGGGACCCAGCTGTACACTCAGCAGATGTCCCTGCACTTGGCCCGTGGGGACCCCGGCGTGTCTGTCCCCTCTCTGCCCAGAGCATTGGCAGTGCTTGGCCACGTGCTCCTGCTTTTTGGGGTTGCCTTGACTCTTCATGATTTCTACCCAACCCCTCCAGTGACTTGAGATGGCTTAGGTTAAAAGCACAAACAGCACCCATGGTGAGCACTTGGTGGCCACATCCACCCCTCCCCAGGGTGGCCTCCCCGTGGCCACACCCTCCTCAAGGCAGCCAGCCAGAGCACAAAGGACCTGAGATGCTCCCGTCCTTCCCTTCCCTCCACACAGGGCCCTGCTGCCAGGAAGGAGGTACACCATCCACATGATCACCCTCAGTGGGCTTGGGCCAGGGGACAACCCCAGTGAGAGTCTGGCCACTGCCCCGCTGCACGTGTGGACCCGTAAGTAGACCTGTGTGGCCTCTGGGCCATGCAGAACCTTCTGGAAGCTCTGGACTCCTTCTAGCATCCCTCAGTCCTCCCGAGCGTGGCCATATGAGAAACCAGCCCCTGGCTGAGGGCATCCCAGACGGCAGCACATCCCTGGGATCTCCGCTCTGGAGACAGCTGTCCAGGGCCACCTTCTGCCCGGGCACACGCCCAGCACCCACTCTCAATGGCTCCTCCATGAGGCCCTGGTTGAACAAGGGACCTCTGAGAGAGGGACACAGGAGCCTGGTGGTCAACAACACCCATGGCCCACTCTGGATGAGCCCCATGGGGTCAAGGGCAAGGAGGAGAAGCCCACTCCCCACGCCTGCCTTCTCCAGCTCCAGAGTGGGAGGGGTGAGAGTGGTGGGCTAACACACCTCACGGAGGTGGGCTGCACAGGGAGGGGCAGCTAATGGAATAAGGGTGTGGGGTGTGGGGCTGGAGTAGGGCCTCATCTGGGGGGACAGTGCCCCTACCATAACTCAGACACTGCCCACCTTGGGGAGGCCTAGGGCAGGCCTAGGGGCAGGGGAGTCAGCCCAGATCCCAAAGCACTGGGACCCCAAACCTAGTCTTTGAAGCCCACCTCCATCTATGCCAGGAGCAGTAGACTGCTGTGAGTGTGCTGCAAGCCAGGGTGCACCCTACTGCCCCAGACTGGAGCATGGTATCCTGGGGGCCAACAGCCCGGCCACACCCCCCAGACTCCTGTCAGCAGCCCTTCCGCTTGCATTAGAGACACAAGGGTGCTGAGTTGTAAAAACTGAATGTGGCTCTTGGGCTTAAAGAGTCCGTGTCACCCTCAAAGTGGGCCCTGTGTGAGGACCTGGTTCCTGCGGCCCCATCTTCACCCTCAACCCCTGCCTTGTCCAGGGCCCCTGCCTCCAGCAAACCTGACGGCTGCCCGGGTCACAGCCACCTCCGCTCACGTGGTCTGGGACACTCCCCCCCTGGACATTGTGCTGGAGGCCTACGTCATCAACGTGAGCACCAGCCAGAGCACCAAGAGCCGCTACGTCCCCAATGGGAAGCTGGTGTCCTACGTGGTTCGTGACCTCACACCTGGGTGGCGGTACCAGCTCTCGGTGACGGCTGTGCAGAGCACTGAGCAGGGCCAGGTGCACAGCGAGCCTGCCCACCTCTACATCATCACCTGTACGTGTGGCACTTCCGAGGACGCCCCATGGAGGGGAGCCGGAGCCAGGGCAGGGGAGCTGCTGGGCACGGGGCTTGAGCTGGGCCATGCAGGACCTGGGGCCTCCTCTAGCTGGACACTGGGTCCTGCGTGGGCCTGTGTGAGGCCAGTGCAGGGTCTGGGGAAGCAGGGGCTCTGAGAGGACAGGCAGGGGTCGAGGTTACCCTCCCACGGGCATGCCGGTGCAGCTCAGAGCTGTCACCGTCCCCTGGGGTGCACGTGCTGCTCTGAGAGCTGTCAAACCTGCTCCCCCTCTGGCTTCCAGAGCATCCAGGGGTCCAGGTCACAGGGCAAGGGGTGAACGTGGGGGGCACCTGGGGTGAAGGGTCTGGCCCTGACCCAGTGAGCCACCTGCACTGAGCATGGAACAGGTCCCACATGTCTGTCTGGCCGTGCACCTAATTCCTGGGGAGGATGGAGGCTAGGGCCTACAGCCCCAGACCAGCACCAATGTGAGTGGGCGGGGGGGTCCTGCCCTGAAAGCTGCCCCCACCCTCCCAGCATACACGCCCCCACATGGTTCTTCACCCCAGCACCTCAAGGGCCTGCACCCATTCTCCTTCCCCATCTGCAGCCCAGAGGGACAGCACCGACAGACACTGGCACCAAGGCAACCATCCCCGGGGCCCCAGAAATAGGCCCCCTCCAGCACGCCTGCCAGAGCTGCGTCCGCTCAGCGACCGAGGTGCCTCTGCTGCAGTGACCCAGCCCCCCAGGTACATGGCAGCCACACACCCGCCAGCAGCCCTGGCCACTGCTCCAAGGTGGCTGCCAGTGGCCAGGCACAAAGCTCAGGCCATAGCGGGCCCTCCCCGGCAGGTTCTCCGAGCTGGTGGACGGCAGGGGACGTGTGAGTGCCAGGTTCAGCGGCCTGTCCAGCAAGTCAGTCACCCTCAGAGCACGTGAGTGTACCCACCACCCATCTTGGGGTGTGGCCAGCTCACCCCACTATGAAGAGCCCTGGACTTAGACCACCCAGAGCCAACGTGGACCCAGCTGCAGGTGGCACCCTGGGGCCCAAAGGATGACATGGGGGCTGCTGGTGGTATGCCAGGAAGACAGCAAAACGCCCAGCACAAGAGTTGAGCATCACTTGGTGGGGGGGCAGGAGGACGTGAGGTCCCCGCCCAAGCGGCACCAGGGAGGCCCCGTCCTGACCGGTAGAGACCCTCCCTGGCTTCGATCTGAGAAGCGAGGCCCACCGTGAGTGGCCCAGCCTTTGGGGTTGGGTCCTGCTCTGTTGGGGCTACCTGCTTGGCAGGCTGACCTTCCCCAGAGCCCTGCCTCCCAGTGCATCAGTCTGGCCGTGCTGCAGCTGAGTGATGGGTACACATGCCTGGCCCTGCCCACTCAGCAGATGAGAGAGCGCAGCGGGAGCCTGCCCCACCCCAGCAGGCCTATGACGCTGGCACGGCAGCCCGGGACAAGGCATCACGAGGAGGGGGGCAGTCCTCACTCTCACCTGTGAAGCCAGGTGCTGATGGCACGGAGCTCTGGCTGAGCCTAGTCCCTCAGTTAATGAGCCAAGCATTCCCCAGGCACGGGAGGAGGGGTGTGCACAAAGAGGGTGACAAAGAGTAGGCAGGGCACCCCAACCTATGGTGACCAGCAGAGGGGTGACTGGGAGAGTGTGCTGCCCACAGGGTGCCCCTGCAGTGCGGGCAGAGGCACGAGAGCCGACTGGGAAGGACTGAGGTCAGGGCCCTGAGTGCAGAACAAGGCAGGCAGGCTGGACAGAGGCCACGTAGCCCCTGGGAAGCAGGGTGGCCCTGGACCACGGAGGGCACAGCCAAGTAGGCTGAGGCTGCAGGGAAGCCTGGGCAGGCCTGTTGGGCGGCTCCGGAAATGGCAGGGCAGGCCATGGAGGGGTAAGCAAGCAGATGCCGAGGGCCCAGGTGCCCCAGGCCCTGATCGGGGGCTCCACACCGCCAGCCTGGCGGCCACTCATGGCTTGATTGCTTCTAGAGCCCACAGCCCCAGCACAGCTGGAGAGCCCAGAGGGAGCCCCCAAGCCCACTAGCCCGGCCCTGCAGCTGTCGGATCCCAGCCACAAGGAGAGCGAGCGTAAGTCGGGGTGAACTGAATTCAGGGCAGCAGAGAGCGGCCAAAGGCCTCCCCAGCCTGTAAGTGACAAGGAATGAGGACACAGGACCCCCATCAGTGGTCACTGGTGGCTACTGTCACCACCAGGGCAATGCCTGTGGGTACCGTGGCAACCCCAGCATCACTGATGGGACACCGCACTATCACGTGCCTCCCAGGGGCCAGAGGGCACACAGCCACCACCTGGGAGCATTTCTGCACAAAACACCTGAACCTGAATCTTAGCAAGACCCTCATACTAGTGACCAAGTTACAGGAGTGAGGGAGCGAGGGAGAGGGCCATGGCAAGAGAGTCAGGGGAGGGAGAGGGAGAGCCCACGGGACCAATGCCTGTGTCCCCACAACAAACAGAGGCAAGGAGAGGCCGTTAAAGATGTAACAGACTTGGAGCTAGAATCAAGAGGCAACGTGTGGCCCTGTGTAACTCCTTACACTCTTGGGGAGTCCCTGTGGCTTGTGGTTGAGTGAGGAGAGCCATCTCCCCCTTTGAGACACACCTCACTTACAGGCTGAGGACAGAGAAGAGCTATCTGTCCCGTAACTGCTATCAGAGTTGCTCGGAAATTCTTCAGCAAGAGAGAAAGAGCGGAGACAGAGGGCCAGGAGAGAGAGAGAGAGAGAGAGAGAGGCGGAGACAGAGGGACGGGATCACGGTGGAAGCCAGGGGACGGCCACAGGGCTTCAGGCCTGACTCTAGGTGGTATCGCCCACTTTCATTATAAAAAGGACTTTAAGGCCCACACTCAGCATGAGCATGTCAGATGTCCAGGATGGCAGAGGGAGAAGGGAGGAAAGGTGACAGGGCAGTGAGGGACCAGGTGATGGAGTGGTCCCAGGTGGCCAGTGGGGCCGTCCCCTGGGAAGCTGCTGAGGGGTGCCGCGAGGAATGGGTGGGATGTGGGATGTGCGCACAAGTGCTAGGGTGCGGTGGCAGAGGGGGAGCCGGCCTCCTGCAGCATCGTCCACGGTGGGCGCACCCAAGTCTCTTCTGTGTTTCTCAGGACTCTTTAAGGGTCCACAGGGCAATCTCAGTGAAGCTCACAGGGGGTCTGAGCGGACACTGGTGGAGGCCACGACCCCACCGCTGGACACTCCCGCTCTTCCCCCTCAGTGCGGCAGAGCAGTGACTCCAGGGAGAGGGCCAGGGCAGGAGGAGGCCTGGCTGTGGGGGCAGCCTAGCCTGGAAGGCCAGGCTACAGTGGGACAGGCCCCTTCCTCCCACTCTCCGTCCCCCTCCCTGTATGAGGTCAGGGCCAGCACTCCCATTGCCCGTAGTAGGTACAGCGAGAGAAGGGAGACTGCGAGTAGCTGTCTCTGAGGAGGAGGCCACGTCAGCCAGCACACCCGGGCCCAACTGACCCCACGGCTTTGTTCCAGACGGCTCCAGGGACTGCTCAGAAAACCCCTGTCAGAACGGAGGCACCTGTGTGCCCAGTGCCAACGCCCACAGCTGCGCCTGTAGCCCAGGCTTCAAAGGCTGGCACTGTGAGCTTGGTAAGTGGAGGCCCAGGCCCCTTGGCCCCGGGACACTGAGCAGTCATCTCTAACACCCACTGCTACCCGGACAGGACTGCATGCAGCCAGTCATACCACACGGCCTCCCACCGGCGGCGCCTGGACGGGCTAGTGTCCCTGAGCCCAGGGCCTCAGGCCAAAGCATTCGGACTCTGGGGTCTGGCAACAACACCCACAGTGACCATGGGCAGTGACAGGATGATGCAGGCCAGGCGCAGGTGGTGTTGGGAGGGAATGAGTCAGGGGCGGAGCTTGGACCCATGATGCCTGTGGACACAGGCAGGAGCCACAGGGCGTCCAGCCTGCCCACTTTTTCCCACGGCTGGGCAGGGAACACACCCTAAACCACCACCTTCTCCCCTGCCCCCTGTCACAGCCTGTACAAAGGTGCCCCAACCCTGCACACGCCTGTTCTCCGAGACCAAGTCCGTGCAGGTCTGGGAAGGAGGCGTTTGTCACCACGTGTAAGTTGGCTTCTCTCTCAGCCGTACCTCATCAGGCACCTGGCTTCTCGCTGTTGCACAAAGCCTAGCTCACCAGCCCCTCACTAAGTATGGCGGTTTGGGAATCTGCCACCAGTCATCTCCACGTGACCAATTAGGAAAGGAGGCTGAGGGGCTGAATAACTCATCTACAGCTGTGACAGGAGCTCTGGTGGCGAAGTGCCTGAGGCCCTTGACTGCTGACCACAAGGCCAGCAGTTCAAGCCCACCAGCCACTCCTCCGAAGGAAGGCTGGGCAATCTACTCCCGTAGTGATACTGCCTTGGAAACCCAAGGAGGGGTCGCTATGAGTTGGGTCCGACTCAACCGCACATAACAACAGAGCTGTGGCAGAGGCCTGGAACCCAAACCCCCGGGCCTGGCCTCAGCCCTCCTTCCTTGCGCCCTGAGCAGCAGCATCCACGACGCCAGGGCCAAGTACACACAGGTCCCAGGAAGAGGGAAGCCCCCTCCTTTTCCTCCTCAGGTCACGAGAACTGGAGAGTCACTCGTGCCAGAGTCACAATGCAGCTTAGGCCACCACACCACACCTGTTTCCCCACATGTGAAATGGGCTGAGAGGGAGGTTGGCTAGCTCCTCTCAGGACCTATCTTGTGACTGTCGTATGACGCCACGAGTTGCAAACACTGAGTGCCTACTCTGTGCCAGGCCCGGTTCAAAGCACAGGCTCATCAGGGAACAAAGTAGGCCAAGCCCTCCCTAAGAATCCTGATGTTCTCTGAGGAGACAGACAATAAAAACACAATGCGTGTGTTAGAGGGCCTTCTAGAAGGTGACAGTGCTAAAGAAGAGAGGGGTGACCAGGGAAGACCAGGAGTGCCAGGTCAGGATGCAGTCTGCAGCATTAAGCAGGGGATCAGGGTAAGCCTTGTGGGAGAGGCGGCATTCAACACTTGGAGAAGAGGACCACCTGAAGGAAGAACATTCAGGCTGACGATGAAGCAGGAGCGTGTATGTCTGGGGCTGGAACAGAGCGATGGAGGGGCAGCCACGCAGGGCCTGGGGGCCTTGTAAGGACTCTGGCTTCGTTCTCGGAGGAAAGGAAGCCACCGAAGGGCTGTGAGCAGAGGTGCGCGACCCCTGACGACGTGGGTGAAAGGTCACTCTGCTACCCTGAGGGAAGCTGAAGGCCGGAGTGTGAGGGAGAGAGCTCCACTGAAGCTTGAACACGAAGCCCAGCTTAGTATGTAGCAGGCTGCATCAAAGGGGCTGCTTCGTAAGGGTTTTGGCAATCTGCATTCACAGGGATCTGAACTTGGATTCTGTGGGATGATGGTCCACCTGTGCCTGTCTTATGTGTTAGACACCCACCAAGTACCTGACAAGGACACTCCATCACTTATGTGCAGTTTTCCATCTTTTTAATTAACCACCATCTTTAAAGTCAGTTTCTTGTATCGAGCATATAGTTGGGTCTTGTTTTGTGTCCGGTCTGATGATCTTTTATAGGAGTTTTTAGACCACTGACATGTAATGTAACTGTCAACGTGGTTGGGTTGACACTTACCACCTTGCTATGTATGTTCTCTCGTCTATTTCTGCCCCTTGCTACCCCCACCACCACTTCTGCCTTTTGGATTACTTCTTTGATTCCATTTCATCTCTACCATTGCCTTCTTGGTTATATTTCTTCAGCTAGTTTATTTGGGGAGAGGGGTTGCTCTAGGATTTACAATATACATCTCCAACTTATCATAGTATACCTTCAATTACTATTATACAACTCAAGCGTAATGCAAGAGCCTTCAACAGCATGCTCCTCCTTTCCCTTCCCATCCCCTGAACTATTGTTCTCACACTGATTTCCACACATGCGATGAGATGCATAATCTTATTTTTCCTCTTTTGAAAATGTTTTGAAAGTGAAAATGTCATTATATCTACTTGGCTATCCACCATCTCCACTATTCTTTATCTCTTTGTGTAGATCAAGTTTTCCTTTGCCCAAGAATTTACTGAACCATTTCCTACAGTGCAGGTCTGCTGAAGATGAATTCTCTCTGCTTTTATTCATCTGAAACAAAGGATTTCCATTTCAGCTTCATTCCTGAAGGATATATTTGCTGGTATAGAATTCCTGACTTTTTCTTTCAGCACTTCAATGATGTAATCCCTTTGTCTCCTGGCTTGTATAGTTTCACAAAAGACTGCAACCATTGTTCTCTCTGTTCCTCTGTATGTAATGTTTTTCACAACCTCTAGCCCCCATGGCTGCTTTTCTCTTTAGTTCTGTATTTGAACATTTATCATATGCTTTAGTATGGGTTTGCATATGTGTGTTGATTGTGTTTGGAGTGTGTTAAGTATCTTGTATCTCTGAGCTTATAACATTCATCAAATTTGAAATTTTTTGACTAATACTTCTTCAATTTTCTGTCTCTGTTTCCATCCCCTCCTTCTGGGACTCCATTTAGGAATGTGTTAGATTGATACTGTCTCAAAGTTGACTGAGGCTCTGTCCCACATCTGTCTTATTTTCTCTCTGCACTTCATTTTGGATAGACTCTATTGCTGTGCCTTCAAGATCAATGATATTTTCTTCTGCAGTATCTAATCTACCAGTAATCCCATCCCCAAACATTTTCACTTCAGACACTGTATTATCCTCTATATTAGTTCCACTGAGTTCTTGCTTATTGTTGTTAGGTACTGTTGAGTCAATTTGGACTCATAGCAACTCTGTGGTGTTCCTGTGCCATCCTCACAATCCCTGGTATGTGTAAGCCCATCACTGCAGCCACTGTGTCCATCCATCTTGTTGAGAGTCTTCCCCTTTTTCGCTGACCCTTTAAACAAGCATATTCTTCTCCAGGGACTGGTCCCTTCTGACATGACCAAAGTAGGTGAGATGAAGTCTGGCCATTCTCGCTTCCAAGGGGCATTGCAGCTGCAATTCTTCCAGGACAGATTTGCTCATCCTTCTGACCAAAACAACAACCAAAAAAAACCCACTGCCAATGAGTTCATTATGACTCATAGCAAACTCCACTGGGTTTTCAAGGCTGTAAATCTTTACAGAAGTAGATTGTCCCATCTTCCTTCCACGGAGCATCTGCTGGGTTTGAAACACCAATCTTCTGGTCTTACCCACTATGCTACCAGAGCTCCTTAAATGGTCATTTTTCTCCCTTGGAGTCTCTGGGTGGATTAGAACCTCCAGCCTTTCAGTTAGCAGCCAAATACTTAATTAACCACTGTGCCTCCAGGGCTCCTAATCCTTCTGACAGCCCATGGTATTTTTAGTATTCTTTGCCAACACCACAATTCAAAAGCATCAACTCTTTTTTGGTCTTTCTTATTCATCGTCAGCTTTCATGTGCATATGAGGTGACTTAAAATACCATGGCTTGGGTTAGGTGCACCTTGCTCTTCAAAGTGACATCTTTGCTACTTTACACTTTAAAGAGGTCTGTTGTAGATTTGCTCAGTGCAATATGACATCTGGTTTCTTAACTGCTGCATCCATGAGTGTTGACCGTGGAGCTAAGTAAAATGAAATACTTCAATCTTTTTTTTCTCCATTTATTGTGATGTTGTTTATTGGTCCAGTTGTGAGGATTTGTTTTCTTTATGTTGAGGTGTAATCCATCCTAAGACTTTAGTTTTTGATCTTCATCAGTAAGTATGTCAAGTCATCTTCACTTTCAGCAAGCAAGGTTGTGTCATCTGCATATTGCAGGTTGTTAAATGAGTCTTCCTCCAAAACTGATGTATGTTCTTCGTCACACAGTCCAGCTTCCTGGGTTATTTGCTCATCAGACAGAAAAAGTATGGTGAAAGGATACAACCCTGATTCACACCCTTCCTGATTTTAAACCATGCAGTATCTACTTGTTCTACTCAAACGACAGCCTCTTGGTCTATGTTCAGGTTCCTCATAAGCACAATTATGTGTTCCAGAATTCCCATTCTTTACAATGTTATCCATATTTTGTTATGATCCACAGAGTTGAATGCCTTTACAGAGTTGATAAAACACAGGTAAACAACTTTCTGGTGTTTTCTGCTTTCAGCCAAGATCCATCTGACATCAGCAGTGGTACCCCTTGTTCCACATCCTCTTCTGAATCTAGCTTGCATTTCTGGAAACTCCTTGTCAATATACTGCTATACCCATTTTTTAATTATCTTCAGCAAAATCTTACTTGTATATGGTATTAATAATATTGTTTGATACCTTCCACATTCTGTTGGATCAGCTTTCTTTGGAATGGGCACAAATGTAGATCTCTTCCAGTCACTTGGCCAGGTAGCTGTCTTCCAGATTTCTTGGCATAAATGAGTAAGTGCCTCCAGGACTGCATCCATTTGTTGAAACATCATTCATGAAGCCTTGTTTTTTGCCAATTCCTTTAGTGCAGCTTGGACTTCAATACCATCGGTTCTTGATCTTATGCTACCTCCTGAAATGGCTGAATGGTGACCAAGTGTTTTTGGTAGTGACTCTTGTATATTCCTTCCATCTTCTTTTGATGCTTCCTGCATCATGCAATATTTAGCCATTGTTGTTGTTTGTTGTTATGTGCCGTCGAGTCAGCCCTGACTCATAGCGACCCCTCCTTGGGTTTCCGAGGCAGTATCACTACGGAAGTAGGATTGCCCAACCTTCCTTCCGAGGAGTGGCTGGTGGGTTTGAACCACCAGCCTTCTGGTTAGCAGTCAAGTGCCTTAGCCACTATGCTACCTATTTAGCCATAGTCTCCTTCAATACGGCAACTCCAGGTTTGAATTTTTCCTTCAGTTCTTTCAGCTTGAGAAATGCCAAACTTTGCTTCCCTTTTGGTTTTCTAACTCCAAGTCTTTGCACACTTCACTATAATACTTTACTATGTTTTCTCAAGCTGCCTTTTCAAATCTTCTGTTCAGCTCTTTTATCATTTCTTCCACTTGCTTTAGCTACTCTGTTTAAGAACAAGTTTCAGAGTCTCTTCTGACACCCATTTTGTTTTTTCTTCCTTTC